TTAATCAGGTCCTGCTAATATAGAGAAGTTAGTTTGTTAATCAGGTCCTGCTAATATAGAGAAGTTAGTTTGTTAATCAGGTCCTGCTAATATAGAGAAGTTAGTTTGTTAATCACATTCTTCTAATGTAGAGAAATTAGCAGGAAGTGATTAACTAATATAGAGAAGTAGGGGTGTAAATCACATCCTGCTTATATAGAGAAGTTAGTTTGTTAATCACATCCTGCTAATGTAGAGAAGTTAGTTTGTTAATCACATCCTGCAAATGTAGAGAAGTTAGTTTGTTAATCAGGTCCTGCTAATATAGAGAAGTTAGTTTGTTAATTACATCCATCATGGCGATTCGATTCAGTATAAATTTTCTGACCCAACGATTGGATTATTTTCGATACTCAAGAACACACCGCGATACGATTCGATCTGATTAACTGGTTCATTTTATTTTTACCTTACAGGCTTGACAATGTTTCAAATTTGAAATAAATCAATGAAAGCTGTAACATCGTTACGCATTTTATTTGAGAAACAACAGCAAATAACAGAAGTAGAAAAGTTGTAGTCCACCTAGTCTATTAAAACCTGAGGATAACCAGCGAGGAAGGAGGGCAAAATAAGTTTAGCGCCACCGCAGCACGGGAGTCAGAATGACGCCCGGGAGCAAACGGCTAAAAATCGACCGTAGAAAAACAAAAACATGAATCGATTCTCTTGCAGACGTGTCGATGCATCGGATCGTCGGCTGTTGGACCGATACGAAACAATGACTATTTACACCCCTATAGAGAAGTTGGTTTAATAGTGAATCTGTGACATAATAAACGTCCCTTCTGATGTGAAACAGTCATTGGAGCCTTTCTGAGAGGAATGTTGGGAATTTATGCCTCAAATTAACTCAATATTAATGAGAATGTGGGAAGAGTGTTTTTAATGTTAGGCTCCACAGCAGCAGAGAGGAGGAGCTCTACTGATCTCCAGCTGTTCCTCTGCAGGCGGCGTGCAGCGGCGACGTCCACAAGCAGGACTGTGTCTGGCTCTTGGTGTCCCACCAGAAGTGCTCCTCTGAGGACGTGGTGAGCAGCAGTCTCGGCCTCCTGGGCAGGAGCTGGGATGCAGACTGACATTGAGCTGCGTTTGTTTCCAGATGTGCGCTCTGAGCAGGTCCAGCCGAGACGCCGTGTTGAAGTTTGAGCCCTTTGTTCTCCACGTCCGCTGCCGGAGGCTGGAGGACGCTCAGCTTGTGGTGAGGAGTGCTTCAACATGAAGCCATCCGAGTCACACGGCGTCTTTTGACGTGTCTTTCCTCTTCCAGCACTCGGCTGCCGTCAACTCAGGCTTCAGGAACTCTGGGATCACCGTCGGCCGGACGGGAAAGATCATCTCGGTAAGCAGAGACATCAGAGGGACGCCATCTTGACTCCAAGCAGGGAACAATAAAGCTTCAGATTAGACCCAGTTTAAACTAAAACCAGGATTATTTCTCCAGACTTCCTCCAGATCTAAGCCAGCAGGAAGGACTAAATGGATCTCAGCGTAAACTTAGCAGATTTCCCTCAGCCAATCAGAGCCCTGCTGGGTTAGCAAGTAAATCAGTGAAATAATTAAATACGACCTTAACCTTCTAGTTTAAATAATCAAATAGCAAAAAAATCAAAGAGGAGACGTTAATTAATCGTCTGTTTATTTCTGGCTGTTTTCATGATTACAGCAGGATTGGTTCTGTGTCCTGACCTCTGACCCGTGACCTCTGACCCTTCCATCACTACATAGTGGACTTTATAGTTAACTGATCGTTCAGACAGTTGATTCCTACTTGCTCTTCCATTTTTCAAAGATGGAAAAAATGGAATTTACATTTTTTTTGTTTAAACCAGTGTTCTGTCAGATCGGCGTACCTTGCAGGTACCCCGTCAGACCGGCATACACTTAGTCAGTACCCGTTTATTCCTTTAGTTTTGTAGAAAAAAAACAAATTCATGACTTAGTTTTTGATGTTTTGAAGCGTATGCAGATCTAACCTTAAATAGTTAGTCTGAACTTGACTAACGGAATCGCGTTACCGTTGGAGGAAGTTTAAAGTCTATTTTTCGTACAAAACTAAAGGGATCAAAGGGGCTCATATAGACGGATGAGCAGGTCTATAGACTATGGTATGCTGACCTGACGGGGTATGTCGGTCTGACAGGACACCCTCATTTTAACCAGATTACTAATTTATGAGGAAAAAGGCGCATAAATATGAAAATAAAACGAATGTAGGAGAAAAAGTTTAAATTTTGCAAGATGTAAAGATGCTCATTTGTAGAGCAATGCAAGTTTATAAAACACGTTAAAGTGCTAAATGAAGCTCCTGACCTCATTAATGGGGGGGGGGCTTTAGCGATGGAAGGAGACAGAAAGATGGCCGCCTCATTGAAAGTACAAATGAATGATAATAATGAATTATGTTCTTGGAAATTTGCTACTTTAAACTCAAAAATTTTTATTCCAATTTTTCCTTTTGTCTTTGAATGCCCCTTGATGCGTGTGGTTCTCTAAGGAGGGGTCAGGGCGGATGTTCACCTTTCTATTGCAAACATTTGAAGGAAACGTTTCTCCTGTAATTCCTGGCTCTCTGCTCTGCTGCGCCCCCTGCAGGCGGTCCGCAGCACCCACGGCCTGGAGGTTCCTCTGAGCCATGAAGGCAGACTCCTGGTGGACGACGACTACGTCCGCTTCCTGACGCAGACGGCCAATCAGAAGATGGAGGAGAACCTGAGACGGATACAGAGGTCAGCCCGCTAGCCAAAGAACGCGTAGCATCTAATCCGAGTCCAGGTCCGAGTCTGTTGATGCGTCCTCTCCAGGTTCTACCAGAACCTCCAGTCAGCCCTGTCAGCAGAGAGACTCGCCGTTCCAGACGCTCCCAGTGAACCCCGAAGCGGGAGGACGGCAGGACGGGGAGCGAGCGAACAGAACCCGAGGAGCCGGCAGCGTGAGGCTGAGGGTTTCCATGGTGACCTGGATCTGGATGACTGTCTGGATCTGTTCACGTGAACGGCTGAGGGTTTCCATGGTGACCTGGATCTGGATCTGTTCACGTGAACGGCTGAGGGTTTCCATGGTGACCTGGATCTGGATCTGTTCACGTGAACGGCTGAGGGTTAACGTTCCTCTAAGACCAAACCGTCCCTGACAGACATGCTGGAGGAGGAGTGACATGACTGAACATTGGACCCGGTCCTGCTGGTCCTGGAATCGCAGTCGGTCCTGCTGGTCCTGGTCCTGTTGGTTCTGGACCTGCAGCTGGTCCTGGAATCGCAGTCGGTCCTGCTGGTCCTGGT